CACAAATTTCATGCTTCAGTCGTTTTAGCTTCACACCTTTGGCCACACATGTGATGGACAATTAATTTGCGTCCTATTAAAAAACCTACTTCCATTCGCAAACCCGTATTACACAAATAGTTATTTTTTGAAATGCCGAGAACTTAATTCCTTTACGTGTCATTTTCTTTGTCTGCCAAATGTAAAATGAAATGAAATGAAACTTCTTTAAAAATTTCGTCCCTGAGGAGGTTAAATCCACCACGAGTCATAAATCGATCTCGATGAAATCTCGCCAGTATACATAAGAAAGTTACTCGCCTCGAATTTCCCATTTCCCCGGCGCACGAAGCCGCCCGATACAGCCAGATACCAGAAAGATGGAAGGAAGTTCCTTCTCGAGAGAGGAGGCCCGAAGCGGAATACCGTCTATCGTCTCAGCTGCTCGCGTGGTTTCACGGGGCACCGTAAAGCCGCGCGATCAACGATACCGCAATAGGCTGCCGTGGCTATCGTACGTGATATGTTTTACGAGCCGAGCCGGAGCAGCATGCGAACGCGGCCAAACGAGCGGAGAGGCCGAGTCGAACGGGGAGAGGACTCCTTCTGCTCGCGAGTCCTTTACTGCTCCTTTACTGCATCCTTTACGATCGCCTCTTCTCCGCTCGTCCGGCTCGCTGACAATCGAGCAGAAGCCTCGCTCTGCTCGTCCCGATCGAAACCGTGTTCTTAATCGCGATCGACCGACTGGGAGGGGAGAAAAGAAAGGAAGAAAAAAGAAAAAAAAAAAAAAAAAAAAAAAGAGGAACACGTGCAGGGCGTTTACGGTCGTAGCACGGCTCGCTGCCGGGGGATCGTGCTCGTTTGCCGGCTCTGGTACTAAATAATTCATCGGCTTGCTGCTTTTCAAACGGAGCTCGTGGGACGGCAGCGTAACAGCTGCTCGTTTAGAGGTTCATCGGCTCGGAGCATCGAATCGCGTCTCCGGAATTTTCAGCCCGCGGTTTTGAGAGAAATTCAGCAAGGCGATTGGATATTTCGCTGCGGCAAGCCATTCTACGATTTTAATTGATCAAGTCTCTCGAGATTATTCGTCTCCAAAATCTTTTAGAAATCTTTTAGAAAATCTTGTATGATTTTGAGCATCAAGTGTTTCAATTGATCTTGTATGATTTTAATTTAATAATCGATTATTTGTCTCTAAAATCATTTAGGCAGATGGCTGACTTTTTGCTGATTTCGCATTTTTACAAAAATCTACATACTTGGTTATAGTGGGTATTTTTGTCTGTCAGTCCTTAAGTGGGCTTTCAATTTTATTTTAATAGTTGGAGCGATCAAGTCTCTCGAGAGTATTCGTCTCTAAAATCTTTTAGAAATCTTTTAGAAAATCTTGTATGATTTTGAGCATCAAGTGTTTCAATTGATCTTGTATGATTTTAATTTAATAATCGAGATTATTTGTCTCTAAAATCATTTAGGCAGATGGCTGACTTTTTGCTGATTTCGTATTTTTACAAAAATCTACATACTTGGTTATAGTGGGTATTTTTTTCTGTCAATCCTTAAGTGGGCTTTCCATTTTATTTTAATAGTTGGAGTGATTAAGTCTCTCGAGAGTATTCGTTTCTAAAATCTTTTAGAAATCTTTTAGAAAATCTTGTATGATTTATAATTGATCTTTTAGAAATCTTTTAGAAAATCTTTCATGATTTTGAGCATCAATTGATCTTGTATGATTTTAATTTAATAATCGAGATTATTTGTCTCTAAAATTTTATACGATTTTAATTTAATAAACGAGATTGTTTCATCTAATCTTTTACAGATCTTTTAGGAAATCTTGTATGATTTTAACTCGTCAAGTATTTTTTAAAAATCTTTCAGAAATCTTTTAGAAAGTCTTGTTGTTAACGATTTTAAGTATTTCAATTGATCTCAAGATTATTTGTCTCTAAAAACATTTAAGAAGATGGCTGACTTTTTGCTGATTTCGTATTTTTACAAAAATCTACATACTTGGTTATAGTGGGTATTTTTTCTGTCAATCCTCAAATGGGCTTTCAATTTTATTTTATATAATAGTTGGAGTTTAATTTACACCAAATAGGTGAGTTTCCCTCTGCATTATGAAAAACATAACGACATATTGTATAAATAATATAATCATAATGAGAATTATACAGATCCTCGAATAGTATGCATGATACAATCGTCAATTTAATTAACAGCTCATTTAACAATCCATTTAAGAACTAAGAAACAAAAAGAAATTTTGACTTTCTTCTTTCAATTTTCCCTCGGACTACACAGTGCAGCTTTTGTTTCATGATACCGATCGTCAAATAGCTAAGAGGATAGAAGTTTCTAATTCTAAAAAAAAGAGATACTAAAATTCATTTTTTTAACAGACATCGACGTTCAGCATGCTAAGCCCACCATTTTAACCGCAGTTTTCGAATTTCGGTCGTTAAAGAATGATGACCGCGAAATTGGAAAAGTCGCGTCGACTGGCGGAAAAATATGTATGTATGTACGTGAAACATCGCGCAGCGTACGTGGATCCTCGATCAGGAAATTGCACGGCAGGCTATCGGATGTGCTTCGATAGCCGGACAGAATTGGCAGAGATCCTAGAGTTTCTCTTTCTCTCTCTTTCTCGATCGATCGATCGATCGAGCCGGCGGCCTCGGCTAAACGCCACGGCAACGATCGCAATAAAATAAATTGGCTTTACGCCCGATTCTTATCAATGAAATATGCACTTTCACCGAACAATAGACATATTATGTAATGTGAAATATATTCAGTTTCATCGTGTGCTGCGCACGCTTTCCTCGATACGCCGCGATAATGGACGATCGTTATTCAAAATTCTATTTCCCCGACGCGTTAAGTGGCGCATGATTTACCGCCTTCGCCGTTCCACCGGGCCTTTTATTCGCCTACTCGCGAACACTGCGTGAACAACCGCGGTGCATCGATACGATCGAAATATTCGCCCTGGAAAGAATACCCGCCCCGGAGAGAAAGGGCGAGACACCTGTTCCTCGCCGTTTCGATGATTTATCGCGCTACGTTGCCAATCGGACTACGTACGATCTGCTCGTCGTTTTAATTGCCGGCGATTAGCCGTAATTTAAGCGCAATGCGTGCCGTAATGTTGATCGTGATAATAATCCGCCATTTCGACAGAGAAGAATGGAACGCGCGCAAATTCACGATTTCCACGGACACCCTGGAGAATTTACTCGATGAAAAGTTTCGTTAACGCTGGAACTACTGATTAAAGCATAAAATTTTCCATCGAACAGAGAGACATTGAAGTGAAAGAGATAGAAAAACTGTATGATACAATGGATTACAGAAAGCTTTTGTTTTTATATATTTGTATATTTTTATATTTATTTATTTGCTTGTGTTTTTATGTGTTTTTATATTTTTTATGGTTACATGGATTACACAAGCTTTTATTTTTATATATTTACATATTTTTATATTTATTTATTTATTTGTGCTTTTATATGTATATACTTTTTTTCATACATTTTTGTATATTTTATATTCTTTGTCTGTATATTTTTGCACACTTTTATATATTTGTATACTTTTATTAAATATTTTATACTTTATATTAATATTTTTATATTTATATTTATTTTTATTTTACATTTGTATATTTTATAAATTATCTAAATCTTTAAAGTTCTTCCACGTTTACAAATTATCTAAGAGGAATTATAAATTGATCGTTTCAATCACTTTTAGTAGGTCTGGTGTTAAACCGGCGATGGATTATGCTTTCTAACGATCGAAGTACGGGTTTTGCAAACTCTCTGAACTACGTCGAAGGCTCTCTTTCTCTATCTTTCTCTCTCGTTCGTCTTCCGAGACGACGAGATTGATCGAGCTTCCCGATAAGGTCGGTCGTTTGTCAGATTAATTGAATTATCGGGCAGCGGGCACGGTAATTACCATGGCGGTGACCATGTTTCAACTTGGATTCCGATTAGCCTCGGCCTAGACTGGGCTAATTAGAAAGAAACGTCGCGCTCTCGGTTAATTAATAATCTCGCACACGGGCCACCACTCCACGACGCATCTAAGAAATTTGCTGTTGAACCACGAGACGCGATTTTGTACCTAGCCGGTGATTATGGGTGGGCGTGTCGTCGTTGCCACGGCCGTGGAAAATTATAATTATTACGGAAACCGTCGTCGATCACGTTCGTCCGTGGTCTCTCGCCGAGTGGATTAATAAATCGCCGTTATTATTCCACGGGCGATTGTTGGGAAAAGCGATGTATTCGCGACTGTTGACCGCAACGCGATGATGTTTGTTCAATAGGTGTTGTACATTGGAAATCAATTGCGAAACATCGCATTTCGAGAGATATTTTCTTGTCTGCGTTCTTTGTCCCGAAGTTTAGCGTTCAAATCTTGCTTAGCGTCTCGCAGCTAGAAATAAGATTGAAGTATCGCGTAACAAAATGCTTTGTTAGAACGAAAGTGCAAAGCGTGATGATCGACGAACAATTTGGATTAGTCGAGAAGAATTTCATGGTCTCCTAGGCGTCTCTTGAAACTTCAACTTCCACTTGTGGAAAAATATTTATCTTCGGAAGCAAAAGTTTGCAATAGTAAAGAAATATTCACTATTTACGAAATAAATTGACCGCAAGAGTCAAAACTGCGTGTGAAGAAATTCAATGAAGTTTATATCAATTTTACATTGAGTAAAGTGTATAAATGCATAAACGTTTCATATTTTTGTTACAACTTTCTATGGGCTCTTCGCTACGCGACGTTATGGTTTTATTTATAAATTTTAAATACTAAATTTCGAAACACCCATACAAGCAACTTGCGGAAAATAATGAAACTAGTAAATGTAGGAAACGGGTAGGAATGTTAATAGAAAGACGGGAAAAAGTACCGAGAATGAAGGAAAACGCGTCCATGATTAATTATCGACAGGTACTTGTGTGCTTAATGTACATTCTCGTCCATAACTCACCGGGCTACCTGTCGGGTCAAGAAATACGGAATAATTTACTCTCCTTCACGACGTAGACAGTTAATCCAGTGTCAACTGTCGCGCGCATGAAATTAATTTATCACGTCAGATAGGGGCCGAAAGTGGAGCAACTGCGGAATTACCTGGGCAAACGTGCGAGATAGAGTAGAAACGACGAAACTTCTTTGACTGAGAGCGCCTCCCTTCTGGACGATTCGTCCTCGAACTCGAGAACAGGTCTGCCGTTAGCGTCCGTGTAACCTGCACCACAGAAATTCAAAATATTAATTACTGTGAATGGACTATTGAATTGTTAAACAATCCAAATTATTAAATTGTTCTTTCATCATTTTTCATTAATTTTGTTTATAAGTTTGCGACATTTCTTTTTTAGTATAAATATAAGAGTATAAAATATCTTATCTCTCTGTTAAGTTTATACAAACGTTAAAATGAAAAATATGAAAATATAAAAGTAGAAAATATAAAAAAAGATTTTTCTGTCTTATAAAATATAAAATATAGAAAAACATAAATGTATAAAATATCTTATCTCTCTGTTAAGTTTGCACAAACGTTAAAATGAGAAATATAAAAATATAAAAGTATAAAGTATCTTATAAAATATAAAAAAATATTTTTCTATGTCTTATAAAATATAAAATATAGAAAAACATAAATTTATAAAATATCTCTCTGTTAAGTTTACACAAAAGTTAAAATAGAAAATATAAAAGTATAAAATATCTTATAAAATATAAAAACAGATTTTTGCATGTGTTATAAAACATAGAAAAACATAAAAGTATAAAATATCTTATCTCTCTGTTAAGTTTACACAAACGTTAAAATGAAAAATATAAAAATATAATAGTATAAAGTATCTTATAAAATATAAAAAAAGATTTTTCTATGTCTTATAAAATATAAAATATAGAAAAGTATAAAAGTATAAACTATCTTATCTCTCTGTTAAGTTTGCACAAACATTAAAATGAAAAATATAAAAATATAAAGTAACTTATAAAATATAAAAAAAGATTTTTCTACGTCTTATAAAATATAAAATATAGAAAAACATAAATGTATAAAATATCTTATCTCTCTGTTAAGTTTACATAAACGTCAAAATGAAAAATAAATATCATCTTTCGGTCACGTCGAATTTAATTCGTGTGTTAAGAGGTTAACGACGCGTTTCGAGATCGAGGGGATTCGATGTATCGTCGATTACAGACTTTCCCGCACAACCCTCCACAATGTCACGAGGAGGACACGCACACGAAGCTCACATCAACGGTGGCCACTGAGAAACACACAGAAGGGAGGGCAAGAAGACGCGTTCGCGAGTCAGCGCACGAACCGATCGTAGCGCATTAACGGCGTAATAAAAGTCGGTAACAGCATTTGATTACAGACCGGTGATTGGATTCGGGCTGGTACCACGGGCCGATCGTAATCTTTGGCCGGCGTATAAGTTATTAAATGATCTTTCGAGCTTTCAAGCGGTGCCTGTATGCGCTCGCTGCGCCACCCGGAGTAGGTCATCTTCCGGTAAAATCTTTGGCTCGGCGGCTCCGTATCGATGGAAATGTAATAATCAAACGGAGATCCCACTGCCGTGGGATATACGGGCAGCGATGGCTGAAATAGGGGACATCGTAAAATCTTATTGTCTTAATCGTGACCGCGACGTGGAATCGGACGCCGCGGATGGATCGGGACGCTATCCGACGTCGATCGGATCGTTTCGATTGACGCACGACCGATGTTACCTCGCGATCTTGTCGTTGTTCATCGATTAGACGCGATATATCTATGATCGATACGATCTATGATCTTCAACGGTTCTTCGGCTTCGGAGTTGGTTTTGCTTTCGTTGCACGACGATTGCTATTGATACGGGTGTAGGAGGAGTTACATACGTAGGCCGAGTCACCCGTGGCTCAGTCGGTAGTTGAACTATTTTCGAAACGGTCGGTTATGTTCAAAAATGTTTCCGACGAAAGTTCGATCAGTAGCATTAATTAGTATAATTATTACTTTTTAATGCTGATGGATAGAGGGTGCTTTTAATACGTATATTTTTAAATACATTATTCGACTCAGCTCGTTATTCTCTGTAGAACAAAAAGTATTTGTGTAATCGAATAATGCATTAAGAAATGTACTTTTCACCTTAACAAATATATATATTTCACTTGAAAAAAGCAAGTTTTATCTTCTGTGCATCGATGTTAGAAAGAAACATCAATCGTGCCCCCTTCGAAACCATTCAACTTTTGTCTAAAACATTTCACGGTACAATTAATCGTTTCGAAAATATGTCAACTTCTAGTCTCAGACTCCACTCTTAGGTATTCTCACGTATACTTTTTCTTGCAGGCGAGAAGGATTTTAAAACTGGAATGAGAGATCGATCGAAGATATCTGAAGATGTCTTTCCATATTGAAAAATTTATCATAAACAACTGTAAAAAATGAACAACATAAAATTAATAAAATTATACAAATTAAAGTATGCCTTGAAACATGAAGCTAAGAAGCGAAAGAGTTGAAAGCTGCCTGACAGACACGCGTGATCACGTGTTTCTGACGCGTGCCGTCGCACGAACGCACGAGCATCGGCTCGAAATGTGCCCCGGGGCCGATTGCTCACGGCGTTGATGATAATTCATAGTGGCGTAAGTTATACGGGCGATTACGCGGCGAGGCGATGATAATGCTCGATGCCAGTGGGCAAACCTGTGCACGCTTGCAAACTCTTCGAGTACCGGCGTTAATATACTTTCGGCAGATAATACGCTTCGCGTGCACACTGTAAAACCTCTTACGACCAAACAATAGCTTGAAGCTTGCATTTCGGTTGCATTTTCCTAACTCGATTCGTTGGGAAGCAAACGTGTCACGGCGGAAAACGTGACGTTTGAAGAAACAGATCACTCGAGAAATATGCGTGAAATATTCTAAATAGTCAAAAGTCTCGATTAAATAGTCAAGCGATTCGATCGGTGGAATAAAATATTGCCCACGCTCGTCCTCGAGATTATCTCAGAATCTCAAGAGCTGCAACTTTCTACAATAAAACTCCCCTGACTCCACTGAATCTCCTTCATTGCTCGAAAATCACAGAACGCATCTCTAGAGACACGGCTGTAATCTGCATAAACGCGCGGCTACCTGTTTCTGCAAACGATCGCGTACTTCCGGACGTTTCCTCGGTGTAACGCGACAAAAAGTTCGGCTCACGAGCTCGCCGTCCAGATGCAACGTGTAAAAACGTTCATCGTGAATCTCGCGATAGAGAGAGAGAGAGAGAGAGAAGGAGAGGGTACGGATGTTCTCGAGCTGCAGGCTCTCCTAGAACGCGGTTTAACGTCTTCATCTCGCGGTGAAACCGCTCGTAGAAGGCTCGGTAATCGATCGGTTATGGTAATCCGAGCGGCTGCGCCGGATCGTTAAAAAAGGTCGCGGCGGCCAGCGCGATCCTTGCATTTCCTTGCTTCGAGAAATCACGCGCCGGCTAGCCGACGTTCTCGATGTTTACGACGCGATTAACCGTGCCACGTTTCTCCCCTCGGTCGCTTCCCGATTTTCTATGCACGGTGCCTTCGGCGACCGTTTCGCGTTTCGAATCGCTCGCCGCGACTCACGGAGGAACCAGGAAGACACACTGGTGGACAAAGTGGACAAAGAGCCGAGCGGCGTTTGCTTTCGAAAGACGCTAACACATTGCGTACCGCACTCGGCGCGCTCAACCTGCTCCCATTTTTGGAGCAACAGGGAAACTTTGTATTTTGTGCATATATGCGCTTCCTTAATTCACATTGATAAAATATTCTTAACTATTACTATATATTACTATATATTTTTTATAATAATATTTAAGAATCTATTTATTATGTATTTTAGATTTTAACTATTATTTATTTTATATTTATATTGACACATTGAAGACGATATGCTCTGATAAATATAGCCTGCATTTTCTCGTACGTTTTGAATTATTTAATGTACGATTGAAAGGGTTCACGAGAATGTATAGCATTTAACAGGTGTATTATTTTATTAATAATTAAAATTATTAGTTATTTTTCATTTTTGAGGTGTTTTATTAGATAAAATGAAAATACCTCTGGTTACGTTTCTTGGTGTGGTATGTTAGGAAACGATTTCCCTACTTCTTGAAAAATTATATGACATTATAATATATAATTATATATTATATAATATAAATTATATATAACGTTGCCTGGGTCGTGTCCCCTACAACGCAAAAAAAGCGTTCCACGTCCGCAACGTTGAAACAAGAGAATTCTCGTCTCCCGTTCACAATGTGCTAAAAGCTGAGTACACTCGCCAAAAACACAAAGTACTGATAGCGACCAAATTTCTAAGGTTTCAACGCCACGAGAAACCGAATGTTTCTAAACATTTTAGAGTTTGATATGAGATCTTAAACACTGTCGGCTAGTAAATCAAACTCTCGATATATTCTGCCTACAAGCATCTTGCGACCTTTAGTCACTGAATTCCTGTTGGAAATCGGTAAAATCACAAGGTTGAGAGTAATTTACATAGGGTAACATCAGTCTTGAAAGAAAAAATTAAGAAATCACCCTGGCCATGACAATAGCTCGTGAAATTACTTTCCACGGGAGGGGAAGCAAAAAAAAAAAAATCACTTTCACCACACAAACGACAGGTTCTCTGACGATCGATCATGGCCGAATAATGATCGAAGACCGAACCGCGAAATTATTTCATCGACCGCTTTCGATTCCCACGAAACGCGATAAGACCCAGCTCCAGAAGGAAGAGACTCCTCGAAAACAAGCGAATCGGCGAGTTTCCCGCGACAAGGTCTGCGAAATTTCAGTATTTCGACATCAGGTTATATCAGGAGTGTCCATAAGTAATCAATTATTCTGCATTTGTTGGTGCATTACTTTCCTATTGACTAAAACTGCCATTTTTTTTTTTTTTCTAACAATCTGAAATGCAGTCGTAATTGTTGCCAGTACAAGTCTGCAGTGACTGTTTCTCCAGGTTTCAATAACTCAAAGTGAAACTATACGATAAAACCTTTCTTAGGAATAAGATTGGTTTTGGCTGGTTTGAAGAGAGTCATAGTCAACACATCAACAAGTCGAAGAATATGACTCTCAGGAGATATAAAGTCCGCCAATTTACTACAGGGTGATGAGAAAATTTTACACTCTTCGCAATAATAATCAGAGTGCTTCGGTGAAAAGCATAAA